ATGAATGAAATTTTTTATCTTCTTAACATCCAGTCTGCGTGTCTATGAGACCGAATTTAGGATAATAGGTGGGATAGGGAGGGATGTCACGTTTTCCGGATCTCACCAAACATGTACTCCGGTAAAAGGCTTGATCTGTTAAACACAAAATACCACAACGTACACCCAAAAGAACTCAACTCTCAATAGTGTTTAGCCTGAAAGATGCGGATATTAGAGGTTTGACTGGACTGTGTTCCTCTTGCACAAAATAATTGTGTTCATGTTCAGGCAGGTACCGCACATAACCGTCTTACAGTACTAAGGAAGCATTTTTTCGGCCATATTTATCTACAAAGCTCGAGAAAACCCAGGAGAAAGCGGCTTTGTATTGCGAAACTTGTGCAGCCACAACAGTGTGAAATTCTGGATGTGGTTGTGGATTTTACTCCCTCACAGCCTGGAAACTAGTGCGAATTCAGCCACTTTGACGGGCAATTCAGATTCAAGATATTACACAGAATTCATATCTCTGTTCAGAAGTTTTTAAAAGAGATAATATAAGAAATTTTTTGGAGAATCAACCCGCCAAACACGTCTCCCTGACTCGCAGACTAGGCGTTAATACAATATCATAATATGCTTAACGGTGAGCCCTTATATAGGTCACGCCCAGTTTGGACTGTTTGCAACAGCATTAGGAGATATAAATTATTAGTTTATGTAGCAAATATCCCAAGTGGGTAATTCAGATGGATGGAGATCTGGAGAATGTTTCTCTATTTCCAAATTAAATTGCTTTCCAGCTGATCTACTGTATTTGATGGGTGAAGCAGATGTGAAATCTACTCTTGATGTTGGTCTCATATTTACTCTGTAGGACAGAGGCTTGCAGAAAATGACATCTAGTTGATTTTAACAATAATTTCGTGTTCAAGGTAGGCAGTAATAGTAAACATTGTCATCCATTGCAGTGAAACTAGATTCAATGGATGACACCAGCTGAATGGAGATGTAACCACAGCATGTTCGATAATATTCCTATTAGAGATAGTGGACATTTTTATTGGTTTCGACTGTTATAGGCTTTCAAACTTATACCCGAAATTGATTTCAAATATACCACATCTGTTGCTATTGGTCAAAGAAGATATAACAACAGTTTATTTATTTGAGAGCAAAGCCACATTGGGCTATCTGCTGTGTCCACAGTGGTGAATCGAATACCAAATTTCAGCATTGTATGTCCATAGACTGAACGGTGTCCCACCGGGGGATATATAACTACAGAATGATCATTAACGCTCTTTTTAGAAACAGTGGACCTTTTTATTGATCTAGGTTGTCGTAAATATTCAAACTTATATCTGTAGTAGAGCCGATGATTTCAGATATTTCAGTCTTTTTAGAAGTGACAAGCTGAGGTACCCGTCTTTTGTTCAGGTTATGAATTTAAAAAAATGTGGGGGTGGATGCTATGATAAATAACACAAAAATCCTAGCTTTCTCACAATTTATTTATAACATTATTACAGTATTCATTATTACCTCATCAAAAGGTTCATATAAGCTTTAAGAACTCAACATATACATACATAAAACATGTTATACACTGTGCGATGGTCAGGGTGACTTTGTATTAAAGAGATAGCGGCCAAAGTAGTGGCGATGGGGATGTTTTCTGTTACCCACTTTCAACACCCAACTCTTAATGTCCTCCCACAGTGTTTCACGTGATTAATTAATTGACGGTCATTGGCCACAGAAGTGTCTTACGGGCCGAAGTTGAAATGTCACGAGTCAAAGTTGGAAGTTGGTATAACTAAAAAAACGGCTCCTCTATCAGCCTGTTGGAGTAGAAACATCAGCTGAGTTTATGTATTATTGCTATAGTGGCAGCTATTTTTTTCATTGCATTCCTTCATGGAGAGTGCTAGAGCACTCTAAGATATATATATAAGACGTTTGTGTGCCCTCCCCCACACTTTGTGTTTGTTGTTATCTAGAAAACTTAATGAATTTTGTGCGTAAGGATGTAGCGCCATCTATGAATGTAGTTAACGTTAACTTATGTCAAACATAATAAATGCTCAATAACAGCAATAATAAAGGTAGAGAGGGTTTACCCTCTATTAACATGCCCCTTGTTCCAAACTGTCATCCACTCAGTTTGTTTGAGATTGGTCCAGTGACCTAGGAATAGTTAGATAACGGACAAATAGATAGACATATTTTTGTGCTTCATATATAAAAATTGAAGCTATAACTACACAATGTAGGTATGGATAGGTTGGCTCATTCAATAGAAAACGGGCTTGATGGAAGGAAGCAGGGGGTTGTTATAAATGGAGTTCAGACATACTGGATTAATGGCACAAGTGTGACACCTCAGGGCTCAATGTTAGGACCTTTGCTCTTTTTAATTTACTTCAGTGACATAGACGAAAGAATGGTGAATAGATTATTTAAAATTTCTTGATGGCAGTAAAATTTTGGGCGTTTATGGCTGTGAGGAAGATACTGCTGCTTTACAAATAGATTTGGGTTATTTGGTGAGTTGAGAGTATTATATGGAAGATGGCTTTTAATTATAATAAATGCAAGTTAATGCATATGGGATATCACAATTTGATTTATGAATATAATTTTGACTGGCATGACTTTAACAGTGTTATGGAAGAAAAATATGTTGGTGTTTTGGTTAACCAGTCACTTAAGCCATCTAAGCAATGTGCTGTTGATAGTGGCAGCGCAAATAGGATTTTAGGTTGTGTCTACAGAAATACTGAATACAAATCTAAAGAGGCTACAATGTCATTGTATAGGTCATTGGTTAGGACATATTAATAGTAGTGTATCTAATCGTGGGCTCCTTACCTTAGAAAGGACATTGCATTGTTGGAAAGGGTTCAGAGGAGGGCTACAAGGATGATACCTGGGATGGAGAGATTGTCATACGAGGATAGGTTAAGATTTCTAAATTTGTTTTCTCTTGAGAAAAGAAGAGTTAGATGGGATTTGATTGAGATGTTTAAGATTATTAAGGGAATTGATAGTATTGGTGCCTCATCTTTTATCGTATTTAATGGTGAGAATGGTAAAAAGAGGGGACACAAATATAAATTTTGGCAGGATAGTATTCATTTTCAGCTAAGACATCTTTATCTTTTCAATCGTCCTCTGATGAGACAGCGATAAGTTTACAAACTTACAACGCTAAAATCCTGGATTAGATTCCCCGCGATGGACACAGCAGATAGCTCAATGGGGATTTGCTCTAAATCAAACAAACAAATTTTCCAACAGGGTAGTTGAACTTTGTAAGGGGTTGCCTTCAGATCTGGTACACGCAGTTAATTTAAAGAAGCTTAAAATATTTGAATGATAAGGGCTGGCTTTGAGTTTTTTAGTTTTTAGTATAATTTAGTGGATAGAACGACCTAGATGGACTAAAACGTTTCGTGTTGGTATTTTATGTTATGTTACAACGGTGTAGACTATCATAGCCCTTCAAACTTTAGTCTGAAATAGTGCCGTTGATTCCAGATATACCAAAAATTTAATAGGTGTTTGGAATTGCAACCCCAGAATATTTGATAATGTTCTTTGGAACAGAAAACCTTGTGATTGGCCTAAACTATCATAGACTTTCAAACTTTTAGTGTTTCACAAACTCTATTTCAGCGACGAACTGGCGATATGTTAGGACATGTGGTAATTTGGACGTTCAGATAACACCACAATAATCATTATGACAACACAGATGGTCAAACCTTTTACATACTTGAAGAGCTGGACCGTAGGGGATGGAAACATTCTAGGGACATATTGAAAATTTATCTCTGAGTAGAAAATTTTTAATTCATAAACTTTAACGTGATTCTAATTCAATGCACGTGCGGATAAATTCAGTCGTGGGGCCAGATTACGCTCGTGAGCCGCTAGTTGGACTACGCTGCATCAGGAACTAGTTTGGACAAGAAATTTGCACTTCTATTGTATAATAGTTAATCGGTCAACAATGAGGATGTAGTCTACTTTATAGTTGTTTATATGGAAAAAAATTATGAAGCCATACATTTGACTTTTTTGTAGACATTAAGTTTAACTTAGAACAGTTCATACAGTAAGGTTGAAATATAACAAGATATTTTCCGTTTCACATCCTTTCGTCTATTTTTGTTTGTTTGTATATATTAAGTTTAACCTAAAACAGTTCATATTGTAAGGTTGAAATGTAACAAGATATTTTCAGTTTCACATCCTTTCGCCTATTTTTGTTTGTTTGTATATATTAAGTTTAACCTAAAACAGTTCATATTGTAAGGTTGAAATGTAACAAGATATCGAAAGGATGTGAAACTGAAAACCTATTTTTGTTTGTTTGTATATATTAAGTTTAACCTAAAACAGTTCATATGGTAAGGTTGAAACGTAACAAGAAGTGAGTGACTTAGTTCGCTCCCTATACTAAACTAAGACAACTTTAAAACAAGATATTTTTTTGTTTCATATCATTTCGCCTTTTTTTTTTGTGTAGACATTAAGTTTAACTTAGAACAGTTCATATTGTAAGGTTGAAAAAGGAACGAGGAATGAGTTAATTAGTTCGCTCCCTATATTAAACTAAGTCAAACTTAAAATAAAATAAAAATTACATGTTGAATCAAAGAGGCAGATAAATCACAATAAGAAACATCTGAAAACCCGAGTGCCTTAAAAAGTTACCCTTCTTTTTTAATGCCACAGCGGTAAGCGTGGGGGCTTATATAAAGGTAAAATTTGGGATTCGATTCCTGCGGTAAGCACAGTACTAAACGTCAATTGTATTTCTCCCTGCTTAACAATAACAAATACGTCCCCAATTTACTCATTAAGAAGGTAGATGCGTAACTTTAGAAAGTACTTGGGTTTCTTGTTTTGTACTGCGATCAGTCTAAAAGTTATTAGTGAGCGATTTGCTGTCTAAAGGTCCTAGTTTTATTTTAAACGTTAAACTTTGTGACGTTTCATTGTTGTAGGCTGTAGAATTCACAAGAAGCAGATTTTTCTAAACGAATTCCTAGAATATTTGGCCAATGAAATGATGACCTCGGCTCGAAACATCTCATTTAGGTAAGCTTGTATTACTATAAATGTTTAATAAACATGATGTAAGTTTACTTTGTTAGAAAATATTTTTATGAGTCGAGCGTTGAAGTGTAAGTAGTGAGTTTCGAAACACGCAGATGCAGCTTTTGTTTATAGATAAATTTAATAAAATTTGTCTCTTCGTCTTAGAATCTCAAAATTAATTCATTTGCAGGTTATATTATTCTTTGTGGAGATTAAACATTTTTTTCCGAATATTTATCAGTTTTTATGTACACTAACAAAAATTTTACCACTGTTGTGTGTACGTGTTTACCAGTGTTGTATATGTATGTGTGTGTTGTGTTAAGTATTACACATCTTTATATCATGAAACAATAAAACACATACGTTATCAATTTTTTTACACAAAGTATTTTAAAACACGAATATGTCTCTTTATATGTCCTAATTTTAAAAACATTATCATAGTCTTTATACCTTCAAATGAACTTTGAACTATATTTCTTAAATATAGTTATTAAATAATTTTAATAGTAATGATTGGTGAATGTTTTTTTTTATTAAACCTAAGACATGTGTGACCGAGCGTGGCCTAGCGGTTAGAATGTCAGACTGTGGATATGTAAGTCCAAAATTCTCGTCTCATTAACAACTTTGGGGCTGTGTGTGCGTTATAAAGGTGACGACCAAATCCCACTAATTTGCTGGACAAGAGTAGCTCAAGAGTTGGCAGAAGCTGCTGTTATGTAGCTGCCTTCCATTTAGACTATCAGTTTAATATTAGGGACAGCTAATGCAGATAGCCTTTTAGTAACTTTATACGAATATCCGAAAGCGAACTAAAGACATTTAATGGGCTTAATAAACAATTTATATACATAGGAGTTATCATTCAAGCCAAGCTCTCTGAATCAAGTGATGGGACATAACATTTTTTTTTCTAGTAATGAAAATTAGCGAATAAGTAATGATTCATGTTTATGTTAAATCTTCCTAAATTTCTTTTAGAACCATACTCTCACAAGCAGTTACACCATCGGGGATTACGTATGAATTTATCAGCTTTCGTGTTATGTGGAAATTAAAGTGTTAGATATAAACTTTTATTACAACAAGTCAATAAATGTTGCATCTATACTTTGGACTGTTCGAACGAGTAATGCCACAAGATGGCTCAGTGGTAGGTTTGAGGGTTTATAACGCTAAAATGCGGGTTCGATCTCTGCGATGGGTATATAACCATTTGTGCAACTTTGTGCTTGAACAAGAACTGACCAAGTAATAGCTGAACGTTTGCGCTTGTTCAAAGTCGTACGTAACATATACACATGTATATGTCTACTTGCTGTATTGCATCGATTTTTTTTATATGTATGCGCGTGTTTTCTAAAAAAAAAAAAAACTTTCTCGACATATGACACTTTATGGACTTACACCGATAAAATCTGGGGCTCGATTCCCCGCGGTGAACCAAGCCAAGACAGCTAATTCTGTAGCTTTGTGCTAAGCTAAAAACAACAAAAATAAGAATATATTACTTTATCCTTTCAGCACTACTGGAAGACCAACAAATGAACAGGCTGCACGATGGAAGTTTAAAGAAATAGATCTTAATAATAATAAGGTGAGTACTTTGGTTAACTCATATTTGAGAGGCAATATCTTAACTGTATACATCCTGACAACCGAGGTCGATTGCTATCTTAGCAACAACAACAGAGTACCGTATTTTTCGGAATATAAGATACACCGGTGTATAAGACGAACTCTTATTTTGAAGACAAAGATTTGGGGAAAAAAAACTACAGTCGCATTTGAAAGATTTTTACTGAACAAAAATTCAATTTGATACTTCAAAAATTAGTATATATATATTGTTCTAAACACAAAAGAGCTCAAACATCAAAATAAGAAAATACCGTAAATAAAAAAAAAGTTTACTGTTATTTAGTTTGGTTCAAAACCTACAAAATCTTCATTGCTTTCACTGTAATTTATTTTTTTATTATTTAGGGAGCATTATAAATAGTTATGTTTTTAAAAGAAAAACAAACAAAGTACTATTGTTATAAATAACACATCCAATTGAACTAAACTATGCATGCCTATTTAAATATATTTACACATGGCTCGAGTATATCGTATATATACATATATGTTATTCATACCTTCGGTGTATAGGACGCAAGCAGATTTTAACATCAAATTTTGGGGTAAAAAGTGCGTCTTATACACCGAAAAATACGGTATGTCATGGATTCCTAACCGCTGGGCTGTAGAAATATTCAATGAAAGACGAAATATATAACAACGGTAATTAAAAATATGACTAATTCTTTCGGAATAAATATAGTCCCCAGCTCTTAGTGACAAAGCTTGGAAAGCAATGGTGTGTGTGTATGCGAAGTACAATTGCAGCAAGGGTTGAATACTATATCTAAGGTAAAAATTGTTTGAAAAATCTAATTTAACAATGATGTACATGTAATATCTTGACTGTAGGTGTCGCCCTTTAGTAGCAATAATTTACATATATGGACATTATTTTCATAATAAATGTTACATAATATCTTAAATGTAAAGGTCGCTATTTTACTAACAATGTTTTATGCTTGTGTTCGTTAAAATCTCATCGAAAGTTGTTGTGATACATACATAGTGTGATTGAAGGAGATTATTTAAAAACTAGCAGAGACGCGCAAAACATTTGCGGTGAAATTATTATCTTTATTAGAAGTGTACTTCTTTAAATACAGGATTTCTAGAATAATATAAAAGAATTCTAATCGCAGACACCGAAATCTATAAGCCCATTTGCTTTAGGCCTAACATTTGTTAAGCCTTTATTAAGTACCACATATATTCGTTGAAGAGATAAATTAACACTATAACTTGCTTACGTTTTTTGCTTAAATTTAGTTAGGGCTAAATTTTATCTTCCTTAATACTATCGATAAATAAACTTATAATGTTATTCTACGACCTAACGTTAGACTTTTTTAAAAACTTTGATAAGCTTTAAATATGTTGTTGTATAAAATGTGTAATAAAGGATATTTACAGTCGCTGCTGCTGTTGATGCGTCTGGACAGATTCCATTCAGAATTCTTCCTTCCTCCTTTACTATTGCATAATAAACTGTTAAATGCTATAGTAGTGTTCACGAAATCAGGGTTTGAACACTATGTAAAACACTGATTCTACTTCCCTCTTCAGGGCCGTGTCAATGAATATAATGCTTATAGCATTTAGTGCGGTTGCACTACTTCTCTTCATTTGGTCGTTTACACTACAGACAATTCCATAGTAAAATGTCACTTTTTTCATTTGAAGTAGTTACCAGACGTATATTTCACATATAATACTGTTACG